AATAAATAAATGTATAAATATATAAACAGAAAAAAAAACGGAAAAAAATAGATGCAAATTGATGTATTTATTGATATATTTATAAATAAAATAAATAAAGACTTTCTAGGGGCTTTATTAAAGAACGCTGTAAATAACAAAACCTAAAAAGAGATAAACAAACAAATATAAATAAATATAAATAAAAATAAATAAATAAATATAAAAACACGAAAAAACAGAAAAAAATAGATACAAATTGATGTATTTATTTATATATTTATAAATAAGATAAATAAAGACTTTCTAGGGACTCTATTAATGAACGCTGTAAATAACAAAACCTAAAAAGAGATAAACAAACAAATAAAAAAATAAATAATAAATATAAACAAATATAAATAAATAAAAATAAATACATATAAAAACACGAAAAAACAGAAAAAAATAGATGCAAATTGATGTATTTATTTATATATTTATAAATAAAATAAATAAAGACATTCTAAGGAATGCTGTAAATAACAAAACCTAATGAGATAAATAAACAAATATAAATATAAATAAATATAAATATAAATAAATATAAATATAAATAAATATAAATATAAATAAATATAAATGAATTAACTAAAAGAAGGAATGAGACAGATAGAGCTGCAGAAGAAGCAGCAGCAGCAGCAGCAGCAGCAGCAGCAGAAGCAAAAGCAACAGCAGCAACAGCAGCAACAGCAGCAGCAGCAGCAGCAGCAGCAGCAGCAGCAGCAGCTGAGGTGTCTATACAGCTCACTTTGCTGTTTTAACTGCCGTATCAATCAGCCCTTCTCTCCCCGCCATGCAATGAAAATAAAACTCTTCTTCTCTCAACCCTGCAGCAGCAGCAGCAGCAGCAGCAGCAGCAGCAGGAGCAGCAGCAGCAGCAGCAACAGCAGCAGCAGCAGCAAGAAGAGTGAAATATGAAACTTTAACCCCAACAATCAACCCCCAGAGCATAAACCCTCATCCTGTACAGCCTCTCTCTCCTCTAGGGTTTAGGGTTTAGGGTTTAGGGTTTAGGGTTTAGGGTTTATACCTGTAAGAAAAGAAGAAAGAACAAACCCTCGCGCTAAACTACCAAAATCACCAGCAGCAAATGCAGGCAAAGACCGCCCGCTTATCATCGGCTGCACTCTGCGGCCCTCCAGAGATTGCTGACCTGTACAAAACCCTAAACCCTAAACCCTAAACCCTAAACCCTAAACCCTAAACCCTAAAAGGTGAAAGCTGCAAAAAAATGTGTTGTATAGATATAGTACAGGAAGATACAGAGATAAAAATAAATGAAAATAAATAAAAATAAATAAAAATAAAGATAAATAAACAAAATAAATAAATAAATAAAAATAAATAAATAAAAAGACAAACCGAGAAAGACACAGATCATAGCGTAGTTTAGCGCCAGAGAAATAAATAAATAAAATAAATAAATAAAACAAAAACTATAAATAAATAAAATAAATTAAAACAAAACAAATAGAAAATAAATAAAAATAAATAAAAATAAATAAAAATAAATAAAAATAAATAAAAATAAATAAAAAGACAAACCGAGAAAGACACAGATCATGGCGTAGTTGACGTTGCTGCCTTTAGCGCTAGAGAAACAAATAAATAAAATAAATAAATAAAATAAATAAATAAAATAATTAAAAACAAATAAAAATAAAAAGAAAATAAATAAAAATAAATAAAAATAAATGAATAAATAAAAAGACAAACCGAGAAAGACACAGATCATGGCGTAGTTGACGTTGCTGCCTTTAGCGCCTGTCTTTATCATCGAAGCAAATCCATTGCGAGGAAACCGATATAAAAAACTCCTATATACACACCAGCAGCAGCAGCAGCAGCAGCAGCAGCAGCAGCAGCAGAAGCAGCAGGAGCAGCAGCAGCAGGAGCAGCAGGAGAAGCAGCAGCAGCAGCAGCAGCAGCAGCAGCAGAAGGAACGAAAACAGCAGCAGTAATTAGAGAGGAGATATGAAGGGGATTTATAAGGTAGCAACAGATGCAGCAGCAGCAGCAGCAGCAACAGCAGCAACAGCAGCACCAGGAGCAGGGGTGTTCCTGCTCTTGCTGCTTTTGCTGCTACTCTTGCTACTGCTGCTGCTGCTCCTGCTACTGCTACCATTGCTGCTGCTGCTGCTGCACCTGCTGCTGCTGCTTCTGCTGCTGGTGTTTCTGCTCTGCTCCTGCTGCTGCTTCTGCTCCCGCTCCCGCTCCCGCTGCTGCTGCTGCTGCTGCTGCTGCTGCTGCTGCTGCTGCTGCTGCTGCAGCAGCTTACTTTCCGCTCATGATATTGGTAGACTGCGAAGCAACTTTTGCCATAAAAGTTAAAAAA